AAAAGCTGGAAGTGGCGCTGTGGCTCAAGTGGTAGAATGCTAGCCTTGAGCTGAAGAGCTGAGGGACAGCGCCCAGGCCCAGAGTTCAGGTCCCACGACCAGACCCCCCCCCCAAAAAAAAAAGAAAGGTGTGACTCCTGGAGAAGCAAAGAGAAGGGCCATGATTGTTTTTGTCTTTGCCCTGCCTGAGCAGTGAAGCCAAAGTAATGGAGGAGCTTGAGCTAGGCATCAGTGGCTTATACTTGTAATTCTAGCTTTTCAGGAGGCTGAGACCTAACGATCACAGTTCAAGAGCAGCCCAGGGAGGAAAGTCTGTAAGACTCTTATCTCCAATTACACACCAAAAAGCTAGAAATGGAACTGTAGCTCAAGTTCACTAGCCTTCAGCAAAAAGGCTCAGGGACAATGCCTAGACCCTGAGTTCAAGCTCCAGAACTGACACACACACACATAAAAAGAGGAGTTTTGGAAAAGACAGGTCCCAACAGGTTAGCCGGGGGGCCAGTGGCTCATGTATGTAATCCTAGGTACTCAGGAGGCTGACGATAACTGAGGATCACAGTCCAAAGCCAGTCCAGGCAGGAAAGTCTGTAAGACTCTTATTTCCAATTAACCACCAGAAAACCAGAAGTGGCGCAGTGGCTCAAGTGGTAGAGCATTCACCTTGAGCTGAAGAGCTCAGGAACAACACCAGACCCAGAGTTCAAGCTCCAAGACGAAAGAAAGAAAAGAAAGAAAGAAAGAAAGAAAGAAAGAAAGAAAGAAAGAAAGAAAGAAAGAAAGAAAGAAAGAAAGAAAGAGAGAGGACTGGGAAGGTGGCTCAGTGGTAGAGCACTTGCCTTGCATGCATGAGGCCCTGGGTTCAATTCCTCAGCACCACATAAGCAAAAGGAAAAAAAGCCGGAAGTGGCGCTGTGGCTCAAGTGGTAGAGCGCTAGCCTTGAGCTGAAGAGCTGATAGACAGTGCCCAGGCCCAGAGTTCAGGTCCCACGACCAGCAAAGAAAGAAAGAAAGAAAGAAAGAAAGAGAGAGAGAGAGCAAGCAAGCAAGCAAGCAAGCAGGTGTTGCAGCAGGGCCTCACAGGGAGGCCAGGCAGTAACCTTAGGGTCAAGTGATGACTGCCTAAAGAGAACCATACCTTCCTGGTCAGTTCCTCCTCCTGCAGGGTGAGCATGTGCATGAGGCTCTCTACGCGCACCTGCAGCATCTCCGTGGTGGCACGGAGGCTGGTCCGCTCCTCCTCCAAGTGCTGCAAATGATGGGAGAACAGTGCCAATTAGGGCCTCCACAGCCCCCCTCCAGCAGCAGCCAGTCTGGGTCCATGGACAGCACTTCCTTCCTCTTTCAGATCATATACTTCCCCAAGAGCTGCCCTCATTCTGACCTGATTTCCCACAATGCCCCCTCCAGGGCTGCACCTCCACAGTCCCTCCACCTGCACAGTGTCCAGAAGCTCCTTTCGCTCAGGTTCCCATGCCTGGTGACAGACCTCCAGAGGGACTTGTTCCCCCACGTATTTCCTCAGATTCTCTACCAAGGTCACTTGGGCCGCCAAGTCTTCTTGAGTCTTGCTAAGGTAGGATGGAAATGCGCCAGCCATCAGTGAGGCTGGAAACCTCCACGGCATCCACCACCAGTCCCCTCAACCACCCTGCCCACTTACGTCAGCTGCTTCCTCAGCAGCTCAGCCTCCTTCTGGGCCATGGCCAGTTCCTTGGCCTCTGCTGCCCTCCTGCTTTCTAGACTATTCAGAGTCTTCTCCAAACCCTCGGCCTTGCTGGTCAAACTGGAAAGAGCTTCCTGATGAGCCTGAGTCAAGGAGGACAGCTGTGGAGAGAAGAGCGGGCTCATCAGGGGCCAGCTGGGCCCATATTGGAAGGCCTTCCAAACTTTCCCTCTGCTTTTGTTGTGTCACTCCATGACCACAGAGAACCACCCAACAGATCACCCAACTCTGTGACACATGGAGACCATCTTGACATCAATTTCAAATCCATCCACAGTTCCTCCCAAAACATCTTCAACTACCAACAATCTAAGGTAAGCCTGGACAATGGCCACTTGCTCCTAAAGTGGTCTTCAGAATTCTTCAGTGTCTTTTTGTGGCCCTGGCCAGGCCCACTTTCTTGAGCTCCCTCCCTCATTACTTCATGCCGGCCACAGCAAGTCTACTGGACATGGACTTCTCATTCTGCAGAGAGCATTCTCCCCTTCTTAGAAGGTCTCACTAGCCCTTAATCCCTCCCCATGACCTCACTCTGGCCTATCACTGTCTCAGCTTTCTGAGCACTGGTACTCAATCTGACATTCTCTTACTTCAGTATGTACTCACCATTTGCCACACCCCATGGAAAAGGATCCTCTAAGAAGGGAAGAATCTTATCTTTTCTCCCTACTTTAAGCAGCACTTGGGGCATGAGAGCCAACTAATACTGTAGGATAGGTGAGTGAGGAGGGAAAGTAGCCCCCTTGCTTCTGCCCCTGTCCTTTCCTGACTCCATACTACAATAAAGATGTGATATAAATCACAAAAGTTTGTTTTTTTGTTTTTTGTTTGTCAGTCATGGGGCTTGAACTCTGGGCCTGGGTGCTGTCCCTGAACTTTTCTGCTCAAGGGGAGTGCCCTACCACTTGAGTCACAATGCCACTTCTGATTTTCTAATGGATAATTGGAGATAAGAGTCTCATGGATTTTCCTGCCTGGGCTGCCTTTGAACCACGATCCTCAGATCTCAGCCTTGTGAGTAGCTAGGATTACAGGCATGAGCCACCGGCTACAACACCAATTTTTTTTTGGGGGGGGGGCCCGGTTGTGGGGCCTGAACTCTAGGCCTGGGCGCTGTCCTTCAGCTCTTCAGCTCAAGGCTAGCGCTCTATCACTTGAGTCACAGCGCCACTTCCAGGTTTTTTTTTTCTTTTTGCTTATGTGGTACTGAGGAATTGAACCCAGGGCCTCATGCATGCAAGGCAAGCACTCTACCACTGAGCCAACTTCCCAGCCCCCTACAACACCAATGTTTTTAGACCTAAAAAAGCAAATCTACTCAGGTGGCGGTGGCTCATGAGGCTGAGATCTGAGGATTGTGGTTCAAAGCCAGCCCAGGCAGGAAAATCCATGAGACTCTTATCTCCAATAAACCGCCAGAAAACCAGAAGTGGCGCTGTGGCTCAAGTGGTAGAGCGCTAGCTTTGAGCTGAAGAGCTGAGGGACAGCGCTCAGGCACAGAGTTCAAGCCCAACGACCAACAACAACAACAAAAAAAATTTGCTCGTGTCATTAAAACCTTTCAATGGTTAAACATCTTTTTTGTTGTTGTTGGCAATTTTATAACTTCTGACAATCAGCAGTTCTCATCCATACTGATGGTAAATTTTTTGAACATGGTAACAGAGTTTATATTTGGTTTAGATGCTATATGTATTTGGAGAAATTTCTCTAGTATAAAATTACAGAAATAGGGCTGGGAAGGTAGCTCAGTGGTAGAGTGCTTGCCTTGCATGCCTGAGGCCCTGGGTTCGATTCCTCAGCACCACATAAGCAAAAAGAAAAAAGCCAGAAGTGGTGCTGTGGCTCAAGTGGTAGAGCACTAGCCTTGAGCTGAAGAGCTGAGGGACAGCGCCCAGGCCCAGAGTTCAGGCCCCACCACTGGACCAAAAAAAAACAAAAGCAAAAACAAAAAAAATTACAGAAATAGTCCTACAAGAATGGTTTGGGGTTTTGGCTTCAAGGTTCTCCTGTACTGCTCACAATGGTCTGGAAACTCCCAGTTTCAACCATTCTTCCCCCTTCGGTTTTGGAGTAGCTGGGATTACAAGTATGCACCACCACACTCAGGTCTCATAATTTTTATTTACCTATTTATTTATTTTATCAATACTGAGGCTTTAAGAGTTTGAACACAGGGGCTGGGAAGGTGGTTCAGTGGTAGAGCACTAGCCTTGAGCTAAAGAGCTGAGGGACAGCGCCCAGGCCCAGAGTTCAGGCCCCACGACCAGACCCAAAAAAAAAAAAAAAGAGTTTGAACACATGCTCTCTGAGCTTGCTTGTTCATCAGGCATTCTACCACGGAGCCTAGTGGCCTTTTCTACCCTGGCTGGCTTGGAACTGTGCATCTCAGGCTCCTGAGAGGATTACAGGTGTGAACCACCAACACCCAGCTCTCATGATTCTGAAGTTATGAAGTTCTCAGCTGGCCCCAATGCCTTGCACTCTGCAGCCTGCCTCCACTCCCAACCCCCCTCACTGCGTTCGCTCAGGCCTCCATGTGGTACCCCACCTAAGTAAGTGTTCAACAACACCAGCTTCCCTACTAACTTATATGCCACTTGACCAGCCAACTCATGCACAGCACAAATGTCCCCATTCTCTTAAGTTTCTTTCATGAATTGTGTGTGTGTATATATATTCTTTTTTTTTTTTTTTTGTCAGTTGTGGGGCTTGAACTCTGGGCCTAGGCACTGTCCCTGAGCTCTTCAGCTCAAGGCAAGCACTCTACCACTTGAGCCACAGCGTCACTTCCAGTTTTCTGGTGGTTTACTGGAGATAAGAGTCTCATGGACTTTCCTGCTGGGGCTGGCTTTGAACCGTGATCCTCAGATCTCAGCCTCCTGAGTAGCTAGGATTACAGGCATGAGCAACTGACACTCGGCTGAATTGTGTATTTTTTAACTATCTCACCTTTGTATATTTTCTGACAAGGATTGCTGGTTTTCCCCTTAACCAATTCTTAGGTACACATTACATACTAGAAATATTAACCTATTCCTATGCCATGAACTGTAAGTATTCTTCTCTAGTTTATCACTTATTCTTTACTCTTCTGTCATTTGAATGTTAATATTATAAAGCCCACTTATCAACTTTTTTTATGGCCTCTGAACTTTGGCTTAAGGTAGAAAGGCCTTCCACACCCCAATGTTTAGAATTCATTCCTATTTTCTCCTAATACCTTTTGGTTTCATTTCTTGACATCATTGGTTAGGGTGGCTTTTCCTAACCCCAGATTTAGTGTTCCCTTGCCCTTTACCTTCAAGGAACTTCTCCAAACTGCAGTTTATTAATTGTGATCACATTCAATGTCAAACATGTGAGTACTGAATTAGGCTGTAAGGACAGGAACTCAGATAATCTGATTATTAAGTGCCCAGTTCCCGTCTCAGTGATCTCAAAGAAAAGCACTGAGTTTCCTCACTGAATAATCTCTCTTTCCCATGTCCACCTTCCCCACTTTACTCTCTGACCCCACTCACAGATGAATCAGGGACCTGGAAGAAAGTAGGGAAGACTAATTCCTACTAGAGGAAGAAGGTGGGATTCAACTAGTATAAAGTCACTTGGCAGACAAGTGCAGTCTGAATAAGATCCAAACACCCAAGTTGTTTCTTCCTGGTTATCTACTATACTCCTTCATCAAAGATTTCTTTGTGCTATCGTTCATGGAAATCCCTCTGTGAGGTCTGCTCTTTGCTGGGAAGCTCCTGACCAGCTACCTCTCCCACCTTCACATTCACCTGCTCTTGGTGCAGCCTCTGAACCTCCTCCAAGTCTCGCTGGCTTCCCTCTTCCAAGTTCTTCCGAATAATCTCAGCTCCAGCCAAGGCAGCACGCAGGCCTTCAGCTTCAGCTTGGCCAGCCTTCTCCGCCTGCGCCAGAGCCTCCAGCTCCATGGCCTGGGTCTCCAGTCTCATCTTCTGCTGCAGAGAGGTTTCTCGAAGGGTCCGAACCTCATCCTCTAGCCGCCGCAGCTCCCTCAGCTGCCGAGAGATTAGCTGAGCCTGCTGGCTCAGGGCCTGAGACCCCTCCAACTCCACGGACCTTCAAAGACAGGTTAGTACAGGGGCAAGATGTGTCTCTGGTGTTGGGAGAGCAACCAAGGACAAAAATGGAGACAGAAAGGATGAAGCTGAGGCATGGGGACCTCTGTCACACATCAGTAGCAGCATTCATCATGTCCCTAATAAGGCAGTGCCTGGTGCAATCCCAACACTCAGGGGTCTGATGAAGGAGGATGAAGAGTTTGAAGCCAGCCTTGGGCTACAGAGCAAGACCATGTCAAGGAGAAAAGAAAGGAGGGAGGGAGGGAAGAGAGAGCGGGGAAAAAGAAAAAGGAAGAAAGATAGAAAAGGTCCTTACTAAAAACATTAAGCCCACTGTCTAGGTTCAGAGGACCTTGGAATTAGTGAGCCTAAGGAACATGATCTTTCCAGATATATTAAACATTAAATTGCACATCATGAGCCCGTATATTGTGAGTGAACAGATTAGAAGATGCAGAGACTTCTCAATTCTGACTTAAAGGCAAGTAAACATAAGGCAACATGGAGATAAGGAGGTCCTGAGCTTCCAGTATCAATATGGCAAGGCCAAGTGCTAGGTACAAGCCTATATCAAGTATGTGGTATACTGTATAAGGATATGAGAGGGGCTAGGAATGAGGCTTAGTGGTACAGTGCTGGCTGAGCATGCATGAAGCACCAAATTCAACACCTCAGTACCACATACACTGAAAAAAAACCAGAAGTGAGGCTGTGGCTCAAGTGGTAGAGTGCTAGCTTTGAGCACAAAGAGGCGCAGGGTCAGTGCCCAGGCCCTGAATTCAAGCCCCAGGACTAGCAAAAAAAAAAAAGGATATGAGAGGATAGTACATTGGTGTATCTCTCTGAACCTTTGGAAAACAATCTACTAGAGTCATGTGTGTTTTCTTTTTTTTTTTTTTTTGGTTGGTCGTTTTGATGTTGCTTTTGGGGCGTATTTCGTTTGTTTTGTTTTTACTGGGGTTTGAATTCGGGGCCTTGAACTTTGACTTCAAACTATAGTCCTCGGATCTCAGCTTCCTGAGTAGCTGGTGGCATGAGCCACCAGCACCTGCATCTTATTGAGAATTTTTAGGTCAGAATCTCATTTACTCATTTTTGTTATATCCATCACTAGTGTCTAATATACTTATTATTTATGCATTGTAGGTACCAATAACTGCTTATGTAGAAACATATTAAGTTGGGGCTGGAGATGTAGTACTTGCCTACCATAGGCAAGCCCCTGGATTCCATCCTCAGCAACAAATATACATATCACACACACACACACACATTAAGGAACCCAAGCCAAAATAGAGTAAGACTGAACTCACAGCCTTGCTATTTCTTTTGTTCTGTTTTTTTGGTCTGTTATGGGGCCTGAATTCAGGACCTGGGCACTGTCCCTCAGCTCTTCAGCTCAAGGCTAGTGCTCTACCATTGAGCCACCATGCCACTTCAGGCTTTTTCTGCTTAAGTGGTGTTGAAGAATGGAACCCAGGGCCTCATGCATGCAAGGCAAGCACTCCACCACCAAGCCAGCTTCCCAGCCTTAATTTCTGTCTAGCTTTAAATGTGATCCTCCTGCCTCATTCACCCAGTAGCTACAATTGTTTACAAATGTGCGCCACCATGTGTAGTCTAAGGAATCTGCTCACTGAAGGACAGGAGTACACCAAGCACTGGTTCCCTACCTGCCTGTCCACCCTGGCCCCTGCATATTGACAGATAAATCTTGTTCCCACATAGTCACTGGAGGCCGCTGAGTGTCTATCCGTCTCTCTGAGCCATGGAGTGGAGATCTGACCGTGGGAAAGTCTGAGGCCCAGGTGGGAGCCATTCTTGGCGGATTTGAGAAGGGCCGAGCTTGGAAGTGGGAAGGGGGCATCAGCCCCGTGAAACCTGAGGAATCACAAGAGCAACCATGATCAGATTCTGAGGGAGAAGCAATCTCTGGTACCCTTCCTGGCCTTACTGACCTGAAGGTGGCAACATCTCCACTTTATTTGAAGACTCTAGATTCTGCCTCCAGCCATCTATCTTCCCCTGGACAATAGGAGAAATAAGGACACTCCAATTCAATTTTCAGGTCACCTTCCAAAGAGAAATCCCCTACAATAACAAAGTCATAATTCTTAAATTACAGTGAGGTCCACCCAATTCTCAGCCCCTCTCTTCCTACTTCCCAATAGAGGCAGGAAATACCCCAAGATCATTTGCTCCTCTCAACCTGACTCCTGATAGGACAGGGCTATAACCATGGCATGGAAACAATTTAACAAGGCCTTACTCGTTACTTATAGGATTCTGGGCAGTGCCTTTACCCTCCTCGGTAAATTTCTATGATCCCTGCTGTTCCGGGCTGGAGGTGAGAAAGGAGGAGATACACAGCGGAAGGGTCTTGAGCCCAATCTCCAGAGTTCTCTCCATGGCTCGCCAGGGCTTTGAGGAAGCCCATCCAGGCACCACCAAGCCGTGACTTCAGGGTCCTTCCCTATCATAGCGCCCGGCCCAGACAGAGCACCAGGACAATGAGTCCACATGCAGGGCTACGAGCCTCCTTAAGATCCCTGGAAATGCAGACAGCCTAAAGCCCATGGCAGAGAAGCCAGTTTCCTGACATCTCATCCAAACCTCTCTGCAACTTCCCCTTAGTGTTTCTCCGGTATCCCTTCGGCTTCCATCCCTGTTGTCCTATCTCTAGCGTCCTACAGCAGCATAGTCTGGGGTTTGTAATAGCATCGTTCACCCTGGCCCCCCCAACCTAAGCTCATTTCTTTTTTTTTTTTTGCAAGAGCTTGCGATTTCCCTTCCTACATCCTAGTCTTGCTTTTATACTGAAGAAAGAAAAAAACAAACAAACAATCTGGTGCTTCACTCTCAGCTAATGCCTGCTGTTCTCCCCCTTCCCTCCCCTAAACACCCCAGGATCTTCCCCCTGCTAGACCCTGAGCGCTAAGGCTGTTTTGAACACCTCAGCTGGTCCTTTACCCGGCTCCTGCACCCCTCTTCCCTACGTGTCCCCTAACCCACCCCAGGACCCCCTTGCTCAGCCCCTTCCCGCCCCCAACTGACTCTAGCGAACGCCCCTTACCCAGCGCGAGAAACCCCTTCGGTCCTCTGGCCACACCCCCTAGGCGTCGCTCGGGGCGCGTCTGCCCCTGATTGCGCATGCGCCAGGCGGGTATGCAGGCGGGCTCTTCCAAAGTCTTTTTTTTTTTTGCGCCGGAAGTAGGAGGCCATAATGCACGCAAGCGCAGTGGAGTCTAAGGCAGGGCCTAATTAACGCGTCGAGACTTCTACGCGCCCTGACGGCTCCACCCCACTCCAGGAACCCGGGAAAACGTGAGAACTAATCAGAAAACGCAGAAGGCGGGAGATAGAGGACCTACCCAGCTGGCCGTCCAATGGAGCACAGGAGAGCAAATGAGCTGACCAATCAGAAACAGGACGGGGGCGGGCTAGCTCGGCGCGAAGTCGGACCCGGGAATTCCGAAGGAGGGGCCTGAGCTGCCCGCGCGCTCCGGCCGCGCCCCTCCCAGCCCAGGCTTCCTGGCTGTCAAACTGCAGCGGAAGAGCAAGCGGGTCCCAACCCTGGAACTCCAGGGCACTGACTGGAGCCGAGGCCCTTCCGAGACTGCCCCACGCAGGTAGATCTGAAACTGGGATAGGTGAGGAACGGAGAAGACGGAGTTTGCCTTGCAGGATAGTTAGGAGGTCCTTTCTCGGTTTTTGATCCCATCCCGAGTAGCCGGGATGACAAGGGATGTGGTCCGCTTTGTTGGAGCATTTAGCGAAGTGTTTGCACTGAACTGCCCTTTGGGGGTGACGGTGGATTACTTCCCCCAGGGATTCAAACGTTGTGAATAAGAAATTGGCCAGAAGAGTGGGGCGCGGGCCAACGGGAGGGGTGCTCTTTGGATAAACAAGCTTGACAGCCGGCTTCTCTTCTCCTTGTTACGCTGAGATGAGAAGTGCGCGTTCGCACGTACGTTTGTGCACCGACCTCCTCTCCATCCCGAAGTCGCCTAATAATCTTTGTCTTACTCAGACTGGAGGCTTCCCTGATGTTTGACGGCCTGGGGATCCAGCCCAACGGAGGTGCCCTAGGAAGTGTACTTGGTTTTGCATTACAACAGGACTTGCTCGGAAATTTTTTTAGTTGTCAATCTGCATAATAGCCTTTTTGTTTGTTTTGCATTGCATTCCTAGGCTTGCTGGCACTCTGAATTCTCGCTATTCAGGTTGTGTACTCCAAGGTGAGGTTACACTTCTTCACAGCTCATTTGCATCAGACTGAGAAGTGAACTTAAGCCAAGTGCTTGGCGAAGGTGATGGATTCCTGAAGTGGAAGAGGTGGTGCGGATGAAGCCCCACTCATGCTGCCCTGCTTCCAGCTGCTGCGCATAGGGGGAGGCAGGGGCGGTGATCTCTACACCTTCCACCCCCCTACCGGAACTGGCTGCACCTATCGTTTGGGTTGCAGGGCTGATTTGTGTGATGTAGCCCTGCGACCCCAGAAGGAGCCAGGCCTCATCTCTGGGGTCCACGCAGAGCTGCATGCTGAGCGACGAGGTGAGGACTGGAGGGTCAGCCTGGAGGACCACAGCAGCCAAGGTGAGCCATGAGCTGGGTAGCAGCAGGTTGAAATGAGTATCTACAGAGTCCCTACCAGGTCAGATCTGATCCAGTCCTCTGTCTTCTTCTCTACAAGGCTAAGAGGTAGATCCAGGATTGGGGACATCAACAGTGAAATGCCACATGTGACCATTCTGAGCCTAAGTTCAGAATTGGCTCACTTTCCAGTTTTGCTAAGGCACCTTGTTTCTGTATTAGATCAGTTGTGATGGATGTAGAGACCTGGATATGTATCTTTCTTCCTGATTCAGGGCAGCCTCAAGAGGCCTAGATTTGCCATTGGCTCACAGCTGTAACCCTAGCTACTCAGGAAGCTGAGACCTGAGGATCACAGTTCTAAGCCAGCCCGGGCAAGAAAGTCTGTGAGACTCCAATAAACTACTCAGAAAAGTCTGGAAATGGCTCAAATGGTAGAGTGCTAGCTATCTTGAGCCAAAGATGCTCAGGGAAAGTGCCCAGGCCTGAAGTTCAAGCCCCAGGACCAGCAAGAAAAAAAGAGACCTGGGTTTACAATTGAGTTCTATCACTGGCCGCTGGCAAAACCTCAGGCCTGTCACTTCGCCTTTCTAAGGCTTTCTTTCCTCATAGGTAAAAAAAACATAAGGCTTGGTAATTCTCTATTCTGGGATGCTGAGGGCTATGATAGCCAACATATCATTGAAGAATTTGCTGTTTTATTATGGTACCATTTTAAGTGCATCAAATGTACATGGCACTAAACCTTATTTACAAAAAAGGAAAATAAGGCACAGAGGTTAAGAAACATAGATGGTTTTGGTGGCTCACACCTGTAATCCTAACTACTCAGGAGGCTGAGATCTGAGGATCATAGTTCAAAGCCAAGGTAGGCAGAAAAGTCCCCTGAGACTTATTATCTCCATTAAACATTCAAAAACTGGAAGTGGCTCTGTGGCTCAAAGTGGTAGAGTGCTAGCCTTGAGCAAGAGCTCAGGGACAGCATCCAGGCCCTGTTCAAGCCCCACAACTGACAAAAAAAAAAGCTGGTAAGTGGTAGAGCCAAGATTTGAACTAGACTGAGCTATATACTACCTGCTCTTTGAGTGGGAGCGGGCCTAAGCACAATGAAATAGAAGCCCATCCATGGGAGAGCACAAGAAAAGTAAACTTTTTACCCACTGGTGGTGGCTGTAATCCTAGGTTCTCAGAAGGCTGAGATCTGAGGATTTCAATTCGATGCCAGCCTGCACAGCCCGCCTGTGAGACTCTTATCTCCAATTAGCCACCAAAAAGCCAGAAGTGGAACTGTGGCTCAAGTGGTACCGGTCTAACCTTGAGCAAAGAAGCTCATGGACAATGCTCAGGCCCTGAGTTTGAGCTCCAAGACTGGTACCAATAAATTAAAAACTAAACTTAAATAAACTTGTTTCCCACTGTAGATGGTGTCACCTGCCAGGGGGAAAACCAAACAGGGCAAGATTCTCTACTCCTGATTGGTCATTGCTGTTCTTGTTTCCTTCTGCACCATCAACAGGGACTTTGGTCAATAATGTCCGACTCCCAAAGGGTCACAGGCTGGAGTTGAGTGATGGTGACCTCCTGACCTTTGGCCCTGAAGGGCCCCCAGGAACCAGCTCCTCAGAATTCTACTTCATGTTCCAACAAGTCCGGGTCAAACCTCAGGACTTCGCTGCCATTACCATCCCACGCTCTAAGGGAGAAGCCGGGGCTGGGACAGGTTTCCAGCCCATGCTGCCTTCCCAGGGGGCCCCACAAAGGCCCCTCAGCACCTTTTCCCCTGCCCCCAAGGCCACACTGATTCTCAACTCCATTGGCAGCCTCAGCAAGCTCAGGACCCAGCCCCTCACCTTCTCCCGGGGTGGGGGTGGGCCGCACAGCCTGCCTGTTCCCACTCCACCTGGGGAAGTGAAAACCCCACCTGCCCCACCCCCACGAAATCGGAGGAAATCAGCTCACCGAGTGCTGGCAGAACTGGATGATGAGAGCCCCCCACCAGTACTTATTGGGCCTAGGAAGAAACTCCGTGTGGAGAAAGCCCCACTGACACCCAGTGGGTAAGTGGCATCCTCTGTCTTGTCATGTCAGCCTCAGCGAGGATGGGTAGAGGACAAAAGCAGAAGAGATACTGGAATGGCGAGACCCCCCCCCCCCGAGTAGTTTTGACATATGCACAGAGGGAGAAGCAAGTCAGTTGGAGTAGGGGCAAGAGTTAAAACAACTGAAGTGTGGGAAACAATTTCCTGGGAGACTGGGAGTAGTGGCTAGCAAGCACCAAAGCACCAGGATTGGATTCCCAGCACTGGGAGTAAAAATAGACACCCCACCCCACCCCAAAAAAAAGCACACTTGTAGGCTGGGAATGTGGCTTAGTGGTAGAGTGCTTGCCTAGTATGCATGAAAGCCCTGGGTTCAGTTCCTCAGTACCACATAAACAGAAAAAGCCAGAAGTGGCACTGTGGCTCAAGTAGAGTGCTAGCCTTGAGCAAAAGAAGCTCAGGGACAGTGCCCTAAATCCAAGCTCCAGGACTTGGGGTGGGGGCACATTTGTAATCCTAATATTTGGTAAGAGACTAGTCTAGGTTACATCTGCAGGCCTGTCAAGGTCCAACTAAATGCTGAGGACGTTTTCTGTGTGTTTAAGATAGTGTCTCACTATGTAGCTCAGGATGGCATCAGACTTGAGTATCCTGCCTCAGCCTCCCCAGCTCTAGGATTATGAGTACCTACTTCATGCCCAGCTGAATGAACCAGATTATCTTTTTTTTTTTTGTCGGTCATGGGGCTTGAACTCTGGGCCTGGGCGCTGCCCCTCAGCTCTTCAGCTCAAGGTGAGCACTCTACCACTTGAGCTACAGCGCCACTTCCGGTTTTCTGGTGGTTTATTGGAGATAGGAGTCTCACGGTCTCTCCTGCCCAGGCTGGCTTTGAACCGAGATCCTCAGATCTCAGCCTCCTGGGTAGCTAGGATTACAGGCGTGAGCCCCAGCGCCCGGCTCAGATTATCTTTTTCTATCAGGCAAACTACACCAACCGTAAGATTGCTTCCTATATTCAAGACTATAATCCCATTCCAGTTCTTTTTTTTTTTTTTTCCAGGTAAGGGGTAGGTTCATAAATCGTTCTGGCTGGCACCAGGCTATCTTGGCCCTCCACACGGTTGGGAAAGGCCTGGGAAAGAGAGCTGGAAAAGAGCAAGAGCTAGAAAAGAGGAAAGAGAAGAGAAGGAAAGAGCTAGAAAAGAGCAGAGAGAGCGTAAAGGCCTGGGAAAGAGCATCTGGGAAAGGTGGGAAAGAGATAGCTAGGAAAGAGAAGAGAAGGAAATAGCTAAGAAAGAGCTAGAAAAGAGAGAGAGCCCATTCCAGTTCTTTTAAGAGCTAGACTCAGTTCCCTGGGCACACCCTTTACCCAGGGGTAAAGTCTTGGCTTCTCAGGGTTTTCAGTGATGGGGGTATGTATCACTTCCTTCAATAAACATGGCCTGCACTCTGAGCACTCCCTTGGATTCCCCCTCAGTTGGGGGTGGGGAGCCCTGCCCAGCACCTGTTGCAGCCCACCCCAAGAAACAGTGGCCTGCGTTCAGTGTGATGGATGTGCTATCTGGCACTATATAGCTTGTGTTGGCATCAGCATTAGGCTGCCAGGGTGGCTGACTTCCAATGTCCAAGGTATCCTGTGGGCTCCAGACCTAAGGCCCATCACCAGGTCATCAAAGGAAACAGAACTAGCACCTCCAGTCCACGATTGGGCATGGAAAGGGTACATACTGGATATTAAGAGATGCTTTCCTTCTTCCCTTCCCTCCACAGGAGAGAATAACTACAGGCAAAGGTCTGTGGCTATGAATACATTGACTCAGACCTGGAGTACTCATGGCCAAGACGACAGAGTTTTGGATCACACCCAGGACCTTGGGCTTCTAGGCAAGCTCTACCACTGAGCGACATGCTCAGCTTTGTTAATGTTCTTGGATGTTTGGTATCACCTAAAGCATTCTGAGAAAATTCTGCAGCACAGCCCCCAAACTTTTTTACATTGTGGCCAGCCTGTCACTAACCATGATTTCACTCAGCTGGCTTTTCAAAACTTCACTTTTTATTGCCAAATGAAATAAAGCATAAGCAGCTTCATTCATCCCTGAGTTCTTATTCTTTGCTACTCTTTGCTTCCTAGTTCTTAGAAAGCTCTGGGAATGTAGTCAGGTTCTTAGGGGAAGGGCAGGCAAAATGAGCAGAGATGGGAGGGATGGGGAGAATATTAAAGGGATGATACCAGTGAAGAAGCCCCAGCCTTGAACCAAAAACTCAAGAATATGAGGGACCTGAGTTTAAGTCCCTGTACCAGTGTGCATGTACATGCACACACACAAAGCAATTTAGGTGATGTGATGTCTCTGTTTCAGAATGGTATGAAAGCAGTTAGTATGGATCATTAGTTTTCTCTACCTCTGCTCCCTCTTCAGGAACTAAAGGATAAACTAAAGACAGAATTATCTATCTACTGTGTCCCAGGCTTCTTTATTCAAGAACAAAGTTGAATAACATGGAGATTAAAATCAAGAGCATCATTGAACTTCACCTTCCCTCTAACCGCTTCCCCCCCAGGACCACCCCCCCCCTTTGTGCTTCCAATTCCTTCCTTAGTGAATGAAGAACTTAATCCCAAAAGCCCTGGCACAGACTCCAGGCTCTCCTTCCCTAGCTTCTCCCATTTTCTCTGTTCCCCCATCTCTAGGAAGGGCAGGCATCTCAGTTTGAATGCATGGGAGAGCCCAGAGTGGTGACAGGGACAGGGGGAAAGGCTTCTGCCTCGGAGAAAGGGACGGAGTACAGTGTGGCAAAGTGAGGGGTCCCGTAGCCTGGGGTTCCAAAATGGGGCCCTGGGGCCAGAGGAAAGGCTACAGGTCCCCCTGGGAAAGGAGGCCCTGCTGCCTCAAAATCCTCTCGTTGGGAATAGTCACTGCTTGATCGTTTGCCCTTCTGGCGCCGGTTACAGAACCACACTCGGACCACCTGGGAGTTGACAACACAGGAGAAAGTGACATTAGACCAGAAACTCAGGACTTGAGTCATTCCCCTAATGCCAACAGCCCTGGAGTGGTACAACAGGAGCCTTACCACCCCTTCCCTAAGCTGGGAAAGAGATTTAGAAAACACAGGGCCAGGACATGAGGTACTCACATCCTTCTCCAGCCCGAGCTGCTGAGCGATAATGTTGATCTGCTGCAGTGTGGGTTTGGGACACTGCAGGAACATGCTCTCCAGGTTGCCTCTCACACGGTTCTCGATACTTGTTCGCTTTCTCTTGCGGGCCTGCACAAGGGTCTCTGCTTTGCATATCTGGGCAGGCGCAGGAGAGGAAACAAAAGCAGGGCTTTAGATTTGCTGAACATCACCAAAATCAAAGGGACAGTGACTTGCCAACAATTGCTAAAGGGGCATGGTCACCAGAGCTGGGAGAGGGGAGATCCTGAGAAAGGATGATACCAGAAGTGGGGGAGTTTAGACCCAGAGGATTCAAATCCTTTCCTAGAAGAGATACTTACTGAAGGATCCTATCATTCTCCATCCCACTGCAAACTGCTGTCCTGGGCTGAGGGGGTGGGGAGGGTCAGGGTACCTCAGTGGGAAATCACATGCTTAGCAAGCAAAAGCCCTGGGTTCCAATCCCTAGACCCAGAGCCCACAAGACAGAACGGTCCCCAAGCCAAGGCTGGAAGCAATGGATGCGGGGTTGAGATGATGCAGGTGCCAAGCAGCCTCCCCCCCCCCACCACCACCACACCCCCCTCACCTCCTGAAGGTTCTCATTGTTATCAGCTTCCTCCACCCACTTCTGCAGCAGGGGCCTCAGCTTACACATGTTCTTGAAACTAAGCTGCAGAGCCTCAAAGCGGCAGATGGTGGTTTGACTGAACACCTTTCCTGGGGGAAGCCAGGTGAGAGAGAACCGACATGTGTTAGACTCAGGCCCCTCTTCCCATCCTCACAGCTCCCACTCAATGATACCGCCTAGTCCTTCTAAAGCAGCTCAAGCCTCCAAGTGGGTAGACTAGCCTCCTGAAGCACCCTCCCCTCATTCCCTCGCTGGGAAGGAAAAGCCTAAATTCAGGAAATGCTCCTTCCAAGGAAAAGATGGTCACTATGGTATGAGAACATCCAAAGGGGAGGGGGAAACCCACCGAAGAGAACCCCCAGGGTGAGCCCCACATCAGCCTGGGTATATCCCAGAGTGATCCTCTTCTGCTTCAGCAGCTTGGCAAATTGCTCAAGTTCTTGCTGCAGATCCTTGCTGTCCTGAGATTGCATTTTAAAAACAAAACAAAACAGAATTTGTAAAAACATAGACATACCAGATATCAACTCTTTTGCATATGGGGGGGATAGAGATGGTCCTGGAGTTGGAGGGGCCTGGGATCTGTCCCTCCTTTTTTGCTCAAGGCTAACACTGGACCCACTTGAGCCACAGCTCCATTTTCACTTTGTGATGTGTTCAATGGAGGTAAGGGTCTTGCGGACTTTCCTGCCCAAGGCTAGCTTTGAACTATGATCCTTCTGAGTATCAACCTCCTGAGTAACTAGGATAACAGGTGTTAAGCCATTGGCACCCAGCTTCAACTCTACCTTTTGTATTCAGGGTTTGAGAAGCTGACTATGGTCCCAAAGGAATAGTCTGAGGGAGTGTCTCAGCTTCCCAGACCATCTGCTCAAAACAGCCTCATTATCAATCGCTCATCCACTCACAGCCCCTTGTGACAAGAAGCTATGTCCCCAGAAACTGGCATATCCAGTAGACAGAGTACCATGCGAAGATAGAAAACCAAGCTCTTAGCCTCCACCTTAGAACACCTGCCAGATTACACAGTAAACTCCCTGCACCTAACTCAATATTCAAGACAAGTGTTTGACCGAGTGTCATCCCTAGCTTGAGGAAGTTTGAGTCTATTAAAACAAAGTGGTAGAGCACTGGCCTTGAGCCAAAAAGCTAAGACAGTGCCCAGGCCCTGAGTTCAAGTCCCAGTACTGGAGAAAGAAAAAGAGAAGGAGGGAAGGAGGGAGGGGAAGGGAGAAAAGGGGAGAGAAAGGAAGGATAGCACCCAGCTCCCTCCCCTCCCCCAGTCCAAGCCCAAAGACCAACACAATAAATAAACAAAATTGAAAGGTGGTATTTAATGAGGTCAAATAAGCTAGGCAGATCCAAAAGAAGCTACGGTGACTTCAGCTAGCTGAGTGAAATGATCTAACTCATATTTTAAAACATTGGCTCTTGTTATGTAACACTACTGTAGGGAGGTACTGCCTTAATCCCAGCATGGATGTTAGTGGCTAGGACGGGATAGGATGTGACTAACTGGTCCTAAGGCTTGAATTCTGGGCCCAAGCACTGTCTTTGAGCTCCTATTTGCTCAAGGCTAGCGCTCTACCACTTCAGCCAGAGTTCTACTGGCTTTTTCTGTGATTTAATTGGGGATAAGAGTCTCAAGGACTTTCCTGCCTGGGCTGGCTTCCAACTGTGATCCTCGGATCTCAGTCTCCAGAGTAGCTAGGATTACAGGTGTGAGCCGCCAACACCGGCTCAGGTTGACAATGCTTCCTCACCAGTGAATTCAGGAAGTGAATGGAAAAAAAAATGGGTAGCCCCAAGAAGGTAGGGTGACTCTGGGCATCCTCACAAAAGGTAGAAAAACTCAGAAGTTATCTGAAGTCTAATGGCACGTGATCCTTGAGGGTGGATGAGTGTGAGGAAGGGTAGATAGGAGTTCGAGCAATAGGAATGAGGAGCCTCAGGGCAACTCTAGAAAGAGCTGGTCAGCACAGAGTAGCAGCAGGCAGAGAGAAACAGTCTTTTATGATCCTAGAATTCTTAATGGAAGTGTTGGGGTGCAGGGAGGGGAAGAGTCAAGTGGCAGAACACCACTCTAGCAAGCCAAGTGAGTTCAAACCCCAGTACCACCAAAAAAATAATAACAAGTTAAAAAAGTAAAAAGTATTTCAAAAGTACTGGATGCTTTCAGATGCAAATAGGCAAATGTTCATTCACAAAAGTCTGCTCTCCCACGGCTCAGCCTTTCCAAATCCGATTTTGAGGATTTGGAATAAAGTGATGAACTGTAGTTCTGCTCTCATTCAGCAGTTAAGACCCGTGAAATAAGCTAATAATGCCTCCCTGGGAGATTTGGTGTCGCTAATGAGATAATGATGTCTAAAATGAGCACACAGCCAGGCACTTAGGAAGAGGACCCCAATTGGCAGCCATTAGTTCTCAGCAGCCGGAGCAACTCCCTCACCCAGATTTCCACTCACACCTTCAATGGCGGTTAAGGGTTTTGGTACTTCATCTCTAATTGCTAGCACTTGTTGCTTCCGAGGTGCAGAACATACACCTTTAATAGTCCTAGCAGGGCTGGAGGCCGGCAGTTGCTCAAGTGAACCTGCATTTATAGACAGACCGGCTGGGGGACCTTCTCCTGAAGTTCCTTTTTCCTTATTTTTTTTTAAACAGCTTAAGAGACAAGAATCGAGCAAATCAGTACCTCCAGCTTTTTACAAAGGTGGAAGGCAAGCTACCCAATAAACTTGACTTGAGACAAACCCAACTCCACTCAACACCGACAGCCCAAACTCAACCTATCAGAAAACAGTCACACCCTAGCCTTCAGGAACAATGACCCCAGATAAGAAGCCTTTTAACCCGGGGGCCATACCTAACCCTAAGGCCAAGATCGTAGGTTGGCTGCGGAACAATGTTTTCCCAAAAAAGGAGGACAGACAGGAGAAGAGGCTCTTAGCGAATAACTAACCAAGGCCAGACCAAAGCAAGGGACCAGAGGAATCAAGGGACAATCTCTGATTCTTCCTGAAGTCACCACCACCGCCTTATCTCTGCCTAGGGTGACTGGGCTACTTTGATCCCTACAGGTTCCAGGCCTGGGCAACTGGAGGCCATCATTACCTCCACCACCCCTGCCCCCAATTGCTGCCACTGCCAGCCTAGCTGCTTCTGGCATCCTGTCCCCATGCTGTCTTGCTCACCTCAGGGTTTTGCTCCTGCTTCTCCTTCTCCAGCTTCACAGCACCAGGGTGGGCAGTGCAGGGCCCAGGGGAAGCCCCCTCGGAGTGGCTCTCCACCCCGGC